TATATATATATATATATATATATATATATATATGCTCAAAAAAATAGAATATTTTTTTAAGAAATAGGATATTCTATATATGGATGTAAACCTAAACATGAAATTGATGTAAAAGGAATCCTAATTTTCTTCGTTCTCATTTTATACAACTACATGTGTTCTAGAGTCAAAAGTGGGAAACATGTGACGGCCATAAAATAGAATTATTACATTACACATTCCTGGTTAAATTTATAAACAAATGTGAATTTTGGGAACTAATCAATTGTCAATTGTTTTCCTTTTTTATGGTATATACATAAAGGCTTGCTATAACTTGAGATGCTGAGTGATCCTTGTGTACATGATACAAATACAATTTAATGTCCCAGAGACAAATCACAACATTATTTGTATATAAATTATGCTATCTTTTTTTATTCTGTTCACTAAGATATTTGCATTATGTGGGTACCAAACTAGCTTTATGATTTTTAACCATTGTGAAATTTGAGTTGCTGTGTGAATTCTTATAATTGGTGTTAATACTTAGTAAATCGTGTTTTGATTTTATTTTTGGGGTTTTGCAGCTCGAAATGATACTCGGCACTTATTACTATCTGTTGTGTGGGCTGGTGTTAGCCTGAGTATAATGGCATTTGTCAAAGCCAATGGGAGGTTATTTTGTAACAGGCCTCGTCTACATAAGCCGCGGCAGTGAGATAAGAAACTTGCCTTGATTCTGTTTCCTTTGAAGGAGCTGTCCATTAAAGTCCGAATTTCAACAATGCATCGTATTGAAATAGAAGCATTGTCTTCCTAGGGTCATTGTCTAGTTTCCTTTTTTCAATCAGTTAAAAGATCAAATGGAAATGGCTATATTTAATATACTATTTCCCTGAGCTCATTTCATTTTAAATTTTGTGGATTAGCCATGTAGTTGTTATCTACATGCCTTTGTACATACTTTTTTGTGGGTCTTAGTGGGAATGGTTCCTTACATGGGACATAATCATGAATTTTGTTGGAAGTACTGTGCTGTAACATTACTCGGTGCGATTGTGGAATCATGACTCCTAAGTCTGGCTTTACCAGCGAAAATTGGGTCAGAAATATAGGTTCAACTTTATCGTAAATTCCTAGCTTCTAATATGTAAAATTTCATTTCTCAATAAATGATCAACCGATCAATGTTTTAGAAACTAGACTGGGATATCCTGGGTTAACAGGTTGGACTATGGATTGGACCAAAACTGGTCCGGTTCATAAAATAACCTGCCTTTGCTAAAAGTACAGTGTTTTGAATTTACCGGTTCAACTAGAAACTCTGCCATAGGATGCCTTATTTCATTTTCTTGGATTTATTGTATGAACCGATTCAACTAGTTGGGCCAGACCTTTTTCTAGTTGAAACTCGAGCCCTGTTGATAAAATTTGGAGTTTACTATCACTCGCAAGTGATTGGAACAAGTGATCTTATTACGCTTGTGATACAATTCTACGACATCTGTTTTGATTATGTAACGGTCATGCAAAATGCAGAGCCCATCAGCCGCATGGATACACAAACAGATTTTTTCTTGAGGTTGAAATTTCGGCTGTGCTTTGTTTTATCTGTACTTGTGTCCTAATCTTAATTCATATTCCAGGACAGTCCATTCCTTGGACAAATCGATCCGAGTCACCAGTAGTCTCCACAAGAACAAGAACCAGATTGGAAAAATGATGAAATTGGCTTGTATCTCGCAATATCACTTCTCGGTTAAGTATCTTGGCGATGCATTTAAATGCTGTATGGCAATCTCCACAAACTCGAAGGTTATTTATTATTTGAATTGGGGTTCTTGTGGGCATTTTTAGAAGGCCAAAAGCTAGTGCCAATTTCTCACTGTGGTGGAGCAGGCCATGCTCTTTCTGATCCTCGTCTAGATCCTGAAGTGAAAGCCTTGTGTCGGGATACACCCAGTCTCTCTCACCATGCCAATAACTTCCACCAATTTTAAATGTATTTCATCCAACAATGGGTGAATCCCATCATCTGAAAAGAACACATGAACCTCTCCTTTGTACTCTATTGAGCTACTCCCTGGTTCCTTTCTTATTCCCTTTGATTTCATCTCTCCTCTGACTCTAGTGACATCATCCCACCTTCCAGCTGAAGCATATACATTTGATAGTAGAACATAGGTTGAAGAATTTCTAGGGTTAAGCTCTAGTAGATTTCTTGGCGCTTGTTCTGCTAGATTTATGTCACCATGCATTCTACTTGCACCTAACATGGTGCGCCATACTTGCTCATCAACAGCAATAGGTATTCTTTCTATAAAATTTCTTGCCCTATCAAGGTGCCTTGCCCTCGCCAATAGATCCACCATGCATGCATAATGAACTTCTCTGGGAACAATACTCTAATCTGTGATCGAAAAGGGCTTTTTGACAGCATGCTGAGAGAGCTACAAAAAAAATGTCGTTTGGCTCAACACCTATGTTCTTCATTTGCTCAAACAATTCTATTGCTTGCTGAGAACAACCATTCCTAGAATAGCCAGCTATCATGGCATTGCATGTGACGATATTCATGTCCGATGCATGCTCAAAAAGGGCAGTTGCATCTCTTATTGACCCACACTTTTGAGTACATGCTGATTAGGCCGTTTTTACATGATGGTCTGTCTCATACCCATGTCTAAAAACACACCCATGAAGCTTTTTTCCAAGACTGATTGATGCTACACTTCCGGCAACTTGAAGGAGATCTATGATTGCATCCATTTGTTCACATGCTTCCTCAAGCTGGGCGTAAATTGCCCAAGCTTCCCTAAAGAGTCCCGTACGAGCATATCCAACCATCATTTTAGTGCATGCATGGATGCCTTTGTTGGATGAGGCATCATGGACCTTTTTGGCAGAATCCATGCATCCACAAGAGGTATACATGTCTCTTAGAGCTATTCCAGCATAACCTGTGATATCGATTCCAAATTTGATGATATGGGTATGTATCTGTTTGCCTACATTAACTGATGGTAAGCTACCACATGTCCTAATGATGCATCCTAAAGCAAATTCTGTGGGCCTCATTTCTCGCACAAGCCCTTGGCCATAAACTTTGATACACTCCTCTCTGGCCCCGATTTGAGCAGAGCTGATTAGAAATGAGTTTCAAACCATCTCGTTCCTGTCAGAAATCGTGTTATACACCATTACAGCATCTTCTATGCACTTGTTTCGTGTATAGAGATGGATCAAATCGGAAATAACAACCTCATCCTCTACCAAACCTGAGACTATAACCGAAGCGTGAAGCATTCTTCCCTGCTCTAACGTTAAAGATGCCTTAAGCAGGCTTGAGAGAGTAAACTCATCAAAGTCCCTCAGGACCTGTCTCATTCTTGCAAACAGCCTATATGAGTCTTCTATGTAACCAAACAAAACATATTTGGAAATCATAGATTCCATGATACAATATCAGGGTAAAGCATGGAATCAAAAACTTTTCGAGCATTATTCATCTCCTGGAAATTAGCATACATGCTAACCAGAGCATCAGAGACACAAGCATCTGAATCAGTATCCAATTTAATTCCTTGGCAGTGCGTTTGCTCGCCTTCTTTGAGCAATCTTGGTCAATGAAACAATTCAAAAGACCAGAAAAAGTAAACCTATCAGGCTTCGTACCTAATTCTTGCATTTTGGAGAATACATCCAATGTCTCTTTGTATCGACCATTTTGAGAATATCCTGAAATGAGGGTGTTAAACGAGATTAAATTAACTTGGGACATTCTTTCAAAACAATCTCTAGCGCCTTCCATTGTTCCACACTTAGCATAACAGTCCATCAGTGCAGTTCCTGCAAATATATCATCATGCAAACCAGATTTCTTTAAGAGGGCATGCACTTGACTCTCCTCACTGATCTCTGGTGAAACTGTACAAGAACAGAGAATCATTGTATAGGGTGAGCTGTTGGGCTGCATGGCCTCCCGTCTCAACCAACAAAACAACTCCCACGCCTCTTCAGAGAACCCATTTTGATAATAACCTGCAATAAGAGCATTCCAAGATACCAAATCTTTACTTGGAATATGCTCGAAAAGCTTTCGGGCCTCATCAATTTCTTTAGTCCTTGTATAGAAGCCAATCAATGAATTCCCTATGGAGGTATCAGTACAAAGAGGGCTCTCTCTATACAGCCACGGAGGATGCCAAAATCCACGGATGCTATGCCATCAAGTGAGGACATGACGCTGACAAATGTGTACACATCTGGTCTCATTCCATTCCTTTTCATCAGTTGAAAATATCCCATGGCATCGATCCATGACTCATATTGAGAATATCCATCAATAATGGCATTCCAGGTGACTAGGTCTCATCCAGGCATTTCATTGAAGACCTGCCGAGCTTCTTCTAATGCGCCCAACTGAGCGAAGAGGCTAATCATAGCATTGCATAGAGAAACATCGCTATGTAACCCATTCTTCCAAGAACATGCATATAATTGGTGTGCATGATCCAAACAAAATGATGCATGGTTGCATGCCTTGAGAATTGCAGCCATGGTGAACCTATCTAAACCCACGTCCATGGTGTGCATTCTTCTAAACAGTTTGATAGCTTCTTCATAGCACGCATTCCGAACATAGCATGATATGATAGTATTATATGTAATGATGTCCCTATGGGGCATTTCCTCAAACACTCTTGTTGCTGCGGCCATGTCTCTAGCATTGGAATATGCACATATCAATCTATTGCAGCTATATAAATCAGTTTCAAAGCCAAGCTTGATAAGCCGTGCGTACTTGATCGAGGGGTAGTGTTCTTGTTCCCGGCGTGTTGTGATTGTTGAGAATAGATACCGAGTGGAGAATTTCTTTCGCAAGCGAAGAGATATGGAATGGTATGTGAATGTTTGAGAAGCCATGTTTTTCCTTGGAAAGAAGGTGTTGCCATGGCAGACTCTGTTACTAACAAAACCTGTTCTTCAAGTTTTATATCCATGCTTCTATAAAATGCATGGTATATCTGCCATGCATTTGGATATTCAGGAGTT